GATTTTTTTTTTTTTTTTTTAGAGAGAGAGAGAGTGGGGGGAAAGGCAGAAGGAGAGGGAGAAGGAGAATCTTAAAGCAGGCTCCAGTGCCCAGCATGGAGCCCGATGTAGGGCTGCATCTCACCAACCCCAAGATCATGACCTGAGCCGAAATCAAGAGTTGGATGCTTAACTGACTGAGCCACCCAGGTGCCCCTGGTTGATTTTTTAAATATTAAAATGTTTAAATTGCTATCTCATTTCCTTCATGTATCTTCTATAGCTATTTTCCTTGTGGTTACCATGGGGAATATTTGACATCCTAAAGTTACAACATTTGTATTGGTTTGTATTTATATTAGCCTAACTTCAGTAGCATATTAAAACTCTACTCCTTTACAGCTCCATTCCCACACCTTTTTGTTGTAAAGGTCACAAAATTACATCTTCACACATTGCTCCAAAACATAAACTAATAATTCTTTTAAATCTGTTAGTCTCTTAAATTATGTAGAAGATAAAATTTGGAGGTACAAAACAGTTACAGTGATACTAGTTATTAGACTGATAATTGCTTCTTAAAAATGTATTAGTCTCTTAAATCTGTAGAGAACAAAAAGTGTAGTTACAAACTTTTGCTGCAGTGATACTAGCTTTTTTTTTTTTTTTAATTAATGTATAATGTATTCTTTGTTTCAGGGATACAGGTCTGATTCATCAGTCATTTAAAAATTTTTTTTAATTTTTTTTTTTAGATTTTATTTATTTATTTGAGAGAGAGAGAGACAGAGATAGAGAGAGCACAAGTGGGGAGGAGAGCGAGAAGCAGGCTCCCTGCAGAGCAAGGAGCCTGATGCGGGACTTGATCCCAGGACCCCGGGATCATGACCTGAGCTGAAGGCAGACGCTTAACTGACTGAGCCACCCAGGCGCCCTGTGATTCATCAGTCTTAAACAATTCAGTGTTCACCATAGCACATACCCTCCCCAATGTCTATTACCCAGCCACCCCATCCCTCCCACCCCCCTCCACTCCAGCAACCCTCAGTTTGTTTCCTGAGATTAAGAGTCTCTTATGGTGGGGCGCCTGGGTGGCTCAGATGGTTAAGCGTCTGCCTTCGGCTCAGGTCATGATCCCAGGGTCCTGGGATCGAGTCCCACATCAGGCTCCCGGCTCAGCGGGGAGCCTGCTTCTCCCTCTGACCCTCTCCCCTCTCATGCTGTTTCTCTCTCGCTCGCTCTCTAAAAAATAAATAAAAATCTTAAAAAAAAAAAAAAAAAAGAGTCTCTTATGGTTTGTCTCCCTCTCTGGTTTTGTCTTGTTTCATTTTTCCCTCTCTTCCCCTATGATCCTCTGTCTTGTTTCTCAAAAAAAAAAAAAAAAAAAAAAAAAGCTTGCCATTTGCAACGATGTGGATGGAACTAGAGGGTATTACGCTAAGCGAAATAAGTCAATTAGAGAAAGACAATTATATGATCTCACTGATATGTGGAATTTGAGATACTAGCTTTTATAATTGCCCATGTATTTAGTATTTATCTTCAGTGAGATTTTTATCTCTTCATATTAACTTTGAGTTACTGATTCTTTTATGTTACCTTGCATGACTCCCTTGCACATTTCTTGCCTGGTAGATCCTAGTGGTAATGAAATCCCTCAGCTTTTTAAAAATTATTTTTAAAAAATTTAAAGAACACGCAAGTGCGAGTGGGGAAAGAGCAGAGGGGGAGGGTGATGGAGGGGGAAAGAATCTTTTTTAAAAAAAATATTTTATTTATTTATATGACAGAGATATAGCACAAGCAGGCAGAGCATCAGGGAGAGGGAGAAGCAGACTCCCTGCTGAGCAGGGAGCCTAATGCGGGGCTCGATCCCAGGACCCTGGGATCATGACCTGAGCCGAAAGCAGCCGCTTAACCGACTGAGCCACCCAGGTGTGCCCCAAGGGTAAAGAATCTTAAGCAGCCTGACACAGTCATGACCTGAGCCGAAACTAAGAGTTGGATGCTTGACTGACTGAGCCACCAGGTGCTCTTGGCCTCTAAAGTTTCTGATGAGAAATACAATTTTTTTGAGGATCCCTTCCTTGTATGCGCTGGTTTGTTTCTCTCTTGCAGCTTTTAAGACTCCCTTTGTCTTTTGAAAGTTTATTTATAATGTGTCTCAGTGTGGGTCTCTTTGAGTTCATATTCTTTGGAGTTCATTGAGCTTCTTGAATGTTTATTATATTCATATCTTTCCTCAACTTAGGGAAGTTTTCAGTCATTATTTTTTGAAATATGCTGTCTGCCCCTTTCTCTCTCTCTTCCTCTGGGACTCCCACAGTTCGTACATTGATCTGCTTGTTGGTGTCCCAGAGGTCTCTTAGGATTTGTTCACTGTTCCTTCAATCCTTTTTGTCAGTTTTTTTTTTTTTTTAAGATTTTATCTATTTATTTGACAGAGCGAGTGAGCGAGAGAGAGCACAAGCAGGGGGGGAGAGGGAGAAGCAGGCTCCCTGCAGGAACCTGACTGTGGGGCTCCATCCCATGACCCTGCAATCATGACCTGAGCCAAGGGCAGATGCTAACTAACTGAGCCCCAAGGTGGTCCAGTCCTTTTTGTCAGTTCTTTAAACTTGATAATTTCCATTCTTGTATTTTCATGTTCACTGATTCTTCTCCCTACTGAAAAATGCCTTTGAATCCCTATAGTGAAATTTTCCATTCATTTTTTTACTTTCAGCACCAGAATTTCTTTGTGATTTTATTTAGGTTTCTATCTCATTATCAATATTTCCATTTTGTTAATATATTTTCACTTTCCTCACATCTTCCTTTAGTTCTTTGATCATCTCTAGGACAATTGTTTTAAAGTCTTTGTGTAGTATATTTACCGTAAGGTCTTTTTTAGGGACTGTTGATTTTTTTCCCTTCAGATGGGCCATGCTTTCCTGTTTCTTTGTATGCTTTGTAATTTTTGTTGTTGAAAACTAGACCTTTGAATCTAATAATACTATAACTCTGGATAACGGATTCTCCTCCTTCCCCAGGTTTTCCTGTTTTTTATATTCTTTTTGTTTTGGATTGTTGTAGGCTGTCTGTGCTAAGGACTAGCCGGAGGTGTAAACTTAAGATTTTTTTAAGGACTTTCCTAAGTCTTTTCCAGGGCATGCATTATCACTCTAATTTTCTTTGTTTATGTAGTTGTTTTTGTATGTCTTTAACATCGTCCAGGTCTTCCCCTAGTTTCAAGGCTATGATCCAGAGTTTCAAAATAGTTACATGAGACTGATGCTGCCAGTGTAATTGTTGTCTACGTTGGGAGACCAGTTCCTGGTGCTTCTTACTTTGTCTTCTTCCCAGAATCATCTTCTTCTTTTTTTTTTTTTTCTTTCAAGATTTTATTTACCCATTTGACAGAGAGAGAGAGTGAGAATGGGAACACAAGCAGAGGGAGTGGGAGAGGGAGAGGCAGGCTTCCCGCGGAGCAGGGAGCCTGATGTGGGGCTTGATCCCAGGACCCCGGGATCACGACCTGAGCTGAAGGCAGACGCTTAACGACTGAGCCACCCAGGCGCCCCCCCCCCCGAATCTTCTATGTTTTGAAATCAGGAATTATCAGACTTCCAACTTTATTCTTTTTTTAAGATTGTTTTGGTTAGAGTCTTTTGTGACTCTTCTCAGGATTTTTCCACTTTTTCAAAATGCACCGTTGGAATTTTGATGGGGATTGTGTTGAATCTGCATATTGCTTTTAGTATTGATATGTTAACAATATTAAGTTTTCTAATTCATGAACATGGATATTTTTTCATTTATTTGTGTCTTCTTTAATTCCTTTCTGCACTGTCTTTTGAGTTCTCATAGTTTATTTTACATATATAATGGTTACCATTTACCACTTGGGTACGTTGGAGTCTTATTATTTTTCAAAGTATTTCATGTCATGAGTAATTTATATAAATAAGAATGAAGGGATGGTGAAGAACAGCTTTATTAGAAATTTTTATAAGATTTTAACATAGCAGACTTCTGTATCAAGTACATTTTGGCAAACGCATCAGAAAGATGAAAGACTACTATTATATGTTAGCAAAGTGAAATGGCAAGGGCTCTTATCACACTGTATTCTATGGTGAATTCTTTCCTGTTGAATAACTAACTGAATGAAAATACCTCATTTTTTTATGTTCTTAGAAATATGTCATTCAGTCATTAATTCTTAAGCTTGAGATTATTAATCTGAGCTATTGTCTAAAGACTCATAGTTTTAGACTTTATTTCTGATGAATTTCACCATCATTAGAGTCTAGAAGTGTGCTCAGGCTTTTTGCATTCTTGTTCTCATTTATTAATGAGATTTTTCTTGTCATTGCTCTGAGGAGCAGGAAATAAATTCTGAATTGTCCACTATATTTAATGAAAGCTTAAAAGACAACAGAGACCACTCTGTGGTCTTTTATATCTTCTTGAAAGGTGATACAACAGTTTGGGCAATGCAGTAAGAAAATTGAAAGATGGCTGTTTCACTATTGCATCACACTTCTAGGTGATTTGATCATTCTTTCATTTTTTCTTCTTCTTTTTTTTTTTTTTTTTTTACTGTTGTAGCTTTTTAAAGCACAATTGGAAATAATTGATGAATAATGATAAATAAGTGGCAGAATAAGGTAGAGGAAAAGTAAGAACACTAAGATCCCACAGTTTTTCTTAGATTAATAAAAAGACTCCAGTGGACCCAAATCATAATTGAAACATAGATTGGGTTTTGTTTTTCAAAAATAAGTAACTTTCCATTTTGTACTTCGGAAGATCTCTAAGAATAAAAGTCTTGAAATACCAATCCATAAAAGTAGTGAGAACTACTCATGAAAGAAACTTAAGAACTAAAATTAGGTGCATTAGATTCTAATGCTATACAGAAGGTTAAAAGAAATGGGAGTCCTTTGTTGTTCAAAAAAAAAAAAAATCTTTTGGGGTGGGCTTATTCGGAGTTAACTGAAAAAAAAAAATTTTTTTTTTTTTTTTTATCATTTAAGGCTTTAGGGGACCAGATACTATTTGTAAATCGTCCTGATAAGAAGAAAATTCTTTTCTTCAATGATAAGAGCTGTCAGTTTTCTGTGGATGAAGGTGAGCCTTTCTGTTTAATTTTCAAATACGTTAGAAATAGAAGGTGACAAAATTTATATTTGTAATCAAGTTATAACTTAAATTTTATAGTAGTGCTTTTTAGCTTTATCATCTCTTAGAGCACAGCTAATAATCTTACCACTAACATTGTTTCTCAGAATGCAATTTGAAATATGTAATTTGAAAGATTTTAGGTTAATTGTACTTATCATAGTATAGTAGGTTATGATATGCTTATAGCTCAGCTGTACCAAGTAGCTTATTTCTTTAATTCTGTTATTTTACAAATATTACTTCATATCTTGATATGAAAGCTTGATGCAGGATGGGAAAAAACAAACTTTTGTTGGTGACTGATATTCTCTTAAATAACTTGTGAGTCTTTTGATTATCAGACTGGATAGGCAAGATTACTTTTTTCTGACTATTGTAGAGTCAGATGCTAAGTAAGCTTCTGTTGAATCTTGTACTAAACGTATGATACCTATGTTTTGAATTTTAGTTTAAAAATGTTTCAGGGGCACCTGGGTGGCTCAGTTGGTTGAGTTTCTGACTCGATTTTGCCTTAGGTCATGGACTCAGGGTTGTGGAATTGAGCCCTGCATTGGGTTCCCCGCTTGGTGCAGAGTTTTCTTGAGATTCTCTCTCTTCCACTCCTTCTGCTCCCCCCACTCCCTGCTTGTGTGAGGGCTTTGTCTCTCAAACAAAATCTTTAAAAAAAAATATTTCATCAATATTTGTCAGGTAAAATAGTTAAACAAGGGTTTAGTCATGGAAATCTTTACTATACAAGTAGAAATTCTCATTTAGACAAATATATTGTACTGTAAATTGTATTAATTTTGAACTAAAAAGGCAAGAAAAGGACTAAACGCCATTTTAATTATAAAATTTGAAAAGTAATACAAACTCATACCAAAAAATTCTAACAATATAGAATTACATAAAGTAACAAAGTAATATTAGATTCCAAATAGTGAAACTATTGCTATGACTGCCTGGGAGGCCTAGTGACTCTTGTTTATTGTATTGAATAAAAGAGATTCTACTGAAGAAATAATTTTGTATAAAAAATGGACATATAATTCTTATCCCTTTAGTAGCCCATACATATCTTGATTATGATTTTGTAATTTGTACTATGTAAGTTTTTCTTTCATATGTTATCTGGCTGTAGATACTCAGGCTTGTGGTGCTTGTAGATAGGAGTTCAGTCAATCTGAAGTTACTTAGATGACCATGATTTATTTTAGGAAATAGAATGTTGTATTTTGGTGGAAAATTGTGATTGAGAGTACCTTGTATGCAGTTGGTTCTCAGTAAATGTTTGTTACTTTAAAAAATTGTTTTCAAAGTATTCCAGTTATTCTGTATATTGTACTTTCTAATAAGGTAAGCTTCTGTGTGTAAATAAGGGAGTAGTGAATTTCTTTTTTATATTGTAGTGATAGATGCTCATTTAAGAAAGATTTGGCTTAGCAATTTTTGTATTGCTTGAGTCTCCTTTACTCACAGTTTTGCTTTTTATGGAAACTTTTGTAATTGTCAAATTGACTTGACCCTTCGAAAAAACATAGGGGTGGACTTAATCTTTAAGATACTTACAGGTTTAAAAAAAAATAGCTGATTCCTTTATTCTTTGGCATAGTTAATCCATTTGAAAAAATGCAGTATTAAAAAACATAAGTATCACATGTTCAAGTAGGAAGATCTTACAGTGAAAAGCAGGTATGTTTTTCCTTTCGCTAATTTGAGTCCCTTTCATTTGTGGCACTACTTAACTGGTTTTATTTTAATTCTTTGGTGGTTCCCTTATTGTATTAAATAATATGCTTATATTTTTATTTCTTGATTTTTCAACTTGAAGTATTTTGACTTATTCTTATCATGTTACTGATTACACCTGCTGTCTCTCTTCTTCACTTTCTAATACTGTATAGCACTAGTTTTAGTTTCTCTGCCATTTTTCTTGTTACCTTTAACAATCAAAATAATTGAATGTTCTCAGGGAATTTTTAGTATTAAGTCCACTCTGCAGATGGCAGCATAGTGCAGCAGATCTGTAGATGTTCAAATTGGGGCAAATGGTGAGGTTGCAGTAGCTCTGTAAGAATAGGGTGGAACTCTAGGATTTCTTGATAATAATTCATTGGAGAAATTTTAAGAGAATCATTCTGTTCCGCTATAATCCTCACAGTAATCATTATACCAAGTCATTAGTATTTTCTGTCCCCAGTGCAATTTTTCTGTGGATATCACTGTTGTAACTTTACTCAGCTTTTTCCTGTTTGTGTACCTTTTTCTATATTTCTATTTCTTAATATTACTCCTGTTTTCATTTGCCATTTTATATGGGCTTTGTTGGCTTAAACTCTTCCTATCTCCTTATTACTTGGCTTATAAGGACAAGATGAGGATTTTCCTTTTCTTTCTTTCCTTTTTTTTTTTTTTAAGATTTATTTATTTGGGAAAAAAAGATGTATTTAAGAGGGGGGGCAAAAGGAGAGGAAGAGAGAGTCCTTTTTTTTTTTTTTTTTTTTTAAAGATTTTTATTTATTTATTTGACAGAGAGAGACACAGCAAGAGAGGGAATACAAGCAGGGGGAGTGGGAGAGGGAGAAGCAGGCTTCCCACTGAGCAGGGAGCCCGATGCGGGGCTCGATCCCGAAGGCAGACGCTTAACGACTGAGCCACCCAGGCGCCCCAGGAAGAGTCTTAAGCAGACGCTGGGCCGAGCATGTCTGACGCAGGGCTCAGTCTCAAGACCCTGAGATCATGACCTGAGCCAAAACCAAGAGTCAGACGCTTAATCGACTGAGCCACCCAGGCGCCCCAAGATGAGGATTTTCACTTTCTTCCACTCAGATTATAAAAGTAACCATGTATGCTTGTTAGTAAACTCCCACATATCTGTAAATAAATTGTATAAATTGTTTGATGTTTATTTTTCTAGTTTACTTTTTCTCTGTTAGAGGTATTCTATAATGCTATATGGCGCCTGGGTGGCTCAGTTGGTTAAGCGACTGCCTTTGTTCGGCTCAGGTCATGATCCTGGAGTCCCGGGATCGAGTCCCACATCGGGCTCCCTGCTCGGCAGGGAGTCTGCTTCTCCCTCTGACCCTCCTCCCTCTTGTGCTCTCTCTCTCGCAAATAAAAAAAATTAAAAAATAAATAAAAATAAAAATGCTATATGGCTGTTTAGTATTCCATTATGTAAGTGTACCTGATGAATGGATTTTTTTAAGTACTTAATAATGCTGCAGCAAATATTATACATTTTTATGTTAATGAAATAGCCATATAATATCAGAAGGTATTGGGAGGGGAAATTGACAAATCATTTTTGCATCTAGTAAGTCTTTGTTGTTGTGGACTTATTTAATAGGTGTTGAAGTATATTACTAGATTTCCTAATATTGACTGTCCTTGTACTCCTAGAATAATGCTTTTTTAACTATATATTTCTGGACTCTTTTTCTATGTATTTAAGGGTTTTTGCTTTACTATCCAGTTTTCTTTTTTTGTTTACTTTCTCAGGGTTTGGTTTGTGTGTGTTATGCTGGATACATCAAAAGAGAAGTACAGTTTTCCTCTCTTCCTTCCTACCTTTTTCCTTCCTTTTCCATTCTTTCCTTATGAGAGTATTCAATTCCTTGAAGATTTGAACACAAACGCCCATGAGTGTATCTGTCTTGTTGCTTCTTTCACAGTATTCTTATCTTCTTTGGTTATGTCTTTCATTAAGTTTCCCACATTATAAATTAATTTTGGTAATTTCTGCTTTCCTAAAATCATCCATTTTTGATTTTCAGATTTAATAGCATATAGTTTTTGCAGAGTATGGCTCCATAATTTAATTTTTTTCTGTAATTTTCCCTTTTTAAATTGCTAACTTTTTGTATTTGGACTTTCTCCCTTACTTCCTTGTTATGCTAACTGTTGGTTTATCTATTTTGCTTTTGTTGTTCTATTTTTATTTTAAAGAAAAATATCTGTCACATCACCCTTTATACATACTAGTTTTTGACTATATGAGTGGTGACTGAGCAAACATTAAAATCTGCCATTGTTTTTTTGTTGTTTTAATTTTGCTATTACTTCCTGGTTATGTTTTCCTGCAGAATTTTTGGTTTATAAACATTCTTGACAGTCATAGTTTAAGGATTGTATCATAATCATTGTAAAGCATCCCTCTTTGTTGTATTTAATGTTCTTTGAAGTCTGGCTTTATCTCATATTACTCTTTTAATCCCTTCCCTTTTTTTGGACTGATGTATTTTTGCCCATTCTTTTTTTTTTTTTTTTTTTTAAGATTTTTATTTGACAGAGAGAGACACAGTGAAAGGCGGAACACAAGCAGGGGGAGTAGGAGAGGGAGAAGCAGGCTTCCCGCTGAGCAGGGAGCCCGATGCAGGGCTCGATTCCAGGACCCTGGGATCATGACCTGAGCCAAAGGCAGACACTTAACGACTGAGCCACCCAGGCGCCCCTTTTCGCCCATTCTTTTACTGTATACCCTGTCTTCTTTTGTTTAAATATTTCCTTTGTAATTGGCATATAGTTGGTTTTAACTTTTGAAGTGTCATTTTATATTAATTATCTTTATTACATGATATATTCTCCCATTATTTGTTTGGAAAGTATAATTTTGGGAGGTTCTCATATCTACAGAGTGATTCTCTGTATCTCTAATTTGCTTAAACTATAGGTATCATTTTATCAACTTCGTTCTTTGTTTTTATTTCCTAATTGACACTTTCTGGGATTTTGGTAACAATCTGTGTATTCCTGAATTCACTTACTCAACAAGAGTTCACTTATTCAACAAATATTTACTGATGTCCTACTATATGCCCCAGTTATTTTGCTAAATGCAGGGGATACAGTAATGAACAAGATAGACAAGTCTCTGCCTTTATGGAGTTTGCATTCTAAAGGATAAAGTAAACAATATAAAAAATAAAACATGATGACAGATTGTATCAAATTCTAGGAAAGAGACAAATGAAGTATGTGCAAGCTGGTAAAGCAGTAGGAGGGGTGAACTCCGAGAAGACGGCTGTGGAAGAATGAGATGGAGCTAGCCTTGCAGAGTACCAGAGTGGTGCCCATGTGGGTGCTGTTGTGGGGGAAGTGGGGTTCAAGCAGACAGTAGTAAAAGCAAAGGCTGTAGTAAAGACTTTGATTTTTTTCGTAGGCCAGTTGTTTTTAATCCTTAAATCTGATTCAGTGGAGCCTGAGGAACAAATATTTTGTAACATGTTCTTTGCTCTTGTAAAATAAAATTTCTAGATGATATAACCTACTTTGAGACATAATTTCTTAAAAGTTTGTATAATACAGGGATGCCTGGCTGGCTCAGTCAGTAGAGCATGTGACTCTTGATCCCAGGGTGGTGAGTTCAAGCCCCCACACTGGGCACAGAGCTTACTTAAAAAAAAAAAAGTAGGTGCACCTGGGTGGCTCAGTCGGTTAGGTGTCCAACTCTTGATTTCAGCTCAGGTCATGATCTCAGGGTTTTGAGATCGAGCTCTGAACTGGGGGTGGAGCCTGCTTAAGATTCTTTCTCTCCCTCTCCCTTTGCTATCCCCCCTTAAAAAAAAAAAAAAAAAGTATAGTACCCTAACAGAAAGGAGAAAAAAAAGGAAATTGGTTTATATTTACAAATATATTTCAATATTTATAATTATTCAAGCATATTTATATTAGAATATAAAAGGAATATAAATAACCAGTGTCTACATTTATATGTAGAGTCACCATTGAGTGTGATGGCTACAAATGGACCAATACAGGTGTGATGCAATGGCAACCTATATACCATAATTAGTGTTTTCCTTAAGTGATAAAGAATGTGTGGCAAAGGTCTGCAAAATACAAAGTGATGTTTTTCTGAGATTTTCAAAGGTTAATCATACTATATTCTCTATTATACATTGTATGTTCCTAGAAAATCGTGTGTAAAAAACATAAAAAGTACTTTATATATGTAAACAGAATTTGATTCTTATTATCAACTGGTGTTTTTCATTAATCTCTATACTTTCTAAGACAGACGGCTGGGAGGAAGAAAGGTTTTTCAACAACGGCGGTATTGATAATTTGGAGCTGGATAATTTTTTTTGGTGTTGGGGTTGTCACTGTGCATTGTAGATATTTAGCAGAATCCCTGGCTTCTTTAGATGCTAGTAGCATACCTTCCCCCACAGTGTGACGACCAAAAATGTATCCAGGCATTACCAAATGTTCCACAGGAAGCAAAACTGTCTGGTTTGAGAATTATATTAAAGGTACAGTTGTGTTTATAAAATAGACAACAGTTAATTAAGATATGTTGTCTTCAGACTTCTTTTCTTGAATTCTTTCATTCAGCACATTCAGTGATACAGAGATGTCAAAGTGAATAAGGTCTCCGTTCTTGAGCTTACCTAAGGCTGAGGGAACATTGACACGGGAACACAGATGGTGGTTCTTGCATACTGTCATTGTGATGTTTGTATAGTGCTGTAGACGCTGGGGGAATAAGTCACGATCCGCAGGAACTTCAGGGTTCGGACACTGTTCTTGGAGTTGAAATTGTCAGTACGGCGGCATACATCACTAATTTAAAAAAAGTGAGTTTTTCCAAATGATATAAGTTGTGTGTGTTTCCAGAGAAGATCCACTGAAAATTGATGCATATCTTAACATTTATCTTCTTCTTCCTCTTTGTTTGTATTTTACTCAAAATGCTTTGTCCTATTGTATTGATGGAGATTTTTGTGTTAGTCCAGTAGATGGCAGTCTTAGCTTAAGAGGAAATACTGGAGTGATGAAGCTTTCAGTCACGTTGAAGACTCCCCCTTCATTTTATCTGTAATAGAAGCAAATGTCCTAAAATGAGATATAGCACAAGTAAGGAGAGAGCTTATTTGTAGTAATTTAGGAAGTCAAATAGGTAAGTGAACACAGAGTAGTTGAACTTAGGTATATGTCTTATTTCACAAAGGCATTTATTTCCTTTTATCAGGATCTTACTCATTTAGAGGCAGTATATAAATGCAGTGGTCAGGATGATGGTTTGAATAGTTAACCTGTAAGTTTGTATCTTAGCTCTGCTCCTTATTAGCTTAGGCAAGATACTTCTGAGATTTCTCATCTATAAAATAGGAATAAGGGTATCTGTCTCATGGTCCTTAGGAGAATTAAATGAGTTAAAAATAAATGTGTGTAGAGCTTGGAACAGAGCCTGGCACATAGTAAGAGTAATAGTAACAGTAATATTAGCTATTATTGGAAGAATTGGAAATACCAAATAGTCCCGAAATACTAGGTGTTTAAATCTCATCTGGTTATTTATTCACGTTTACTTTAGCTATCTGGTTATTGACTAAGTGATCCGTAGACTTGCGTTTTGTCAGATAGCAAAGAACCAGAGCCTGTATAACAGTCTGAGGCCACATTTGCGATGATCTTTTGCAGTTATAGAATGTTTGTTGGTGTTCCTGGTGAGAAGTCCAGTGACAGTCTGACTTTTCTTTCATTTTTTCTAACTCATTCTTTTCTGCCTAGAAACTTAAACAATTTCAGCTTTATCCTTAGAATACAGGGCTTCTCCCAGAAGCTCTTTTCCTGGGGCTCTGATGCTGTTTTAGTTCATTATTTTTTTATGGCTTTCCATTCGGATGTACTTTAAAACAATTTTCCTGATGCTCCACAGATAGAAATGAAATGTTTTTGTTTTGCTATATGCTATTATAAATAATACTTAATACTTGCACATAAATATATGTGCACTTGCCTGATTATTTCCTTATTGTAGTTTTCTTTTAAGTAGAATTGCGAGATGAGAAAATAAGGCATATTTAAAACATCTTCAACACATTGCCTGTCATGCCTTTTGTAAAGTTCGCACCAATTTTGGGGGACCCATTTACCTTCACAGCAGTCTATGAAAAGGTATCCAGTTCTTTACCCTTACCAGTACTAGATGTTTTTAGTTAACTTTGCCAGCCTCGTAGAAAATAAGGGTTATCTTGAATTTGTATTTTCTTGCAATGACTTTATAAAATTAGAGAAAAACAGATGATTTTTCTTTGTGCCTCTGTCACCTGTACATTTTTTGTCCTTGCATACATTAAAATTAAATTTGGGATTCTCTGAGATCTTGACTTTAAAATCAGGCCCTGTTTGCCTGGGTGGCTCAGTCGGTTAAGCATCTGCCTTCGACTTGGGTCATGATCCCAGGGTCCTGGGATTGAGCCTAACGTCTGGCAGCAGGGAGCCTGCTTCTTGCTGTCCTGCTCCCTCTGCTTGTGCTCTCTCTCTGTCAAATAAATAAATGAAATCTTAAAAAAAAAAAAAATCAGGCCCTGCTTTCCATTGTTTATCTTAAGTATTTATACAGCTGTGGTACATTTTTTTTTTTTAAAGATTTTATTTATTTATTAGAGAGAGAATGAGAGACAGCAGGAGAGGGAGGAGGGTCAGAGGGAGGAGAAGCAGACACCCCGCCGAGCAGGGAGCCCGATGCGGGACTTGATCCCAGGACTCCAGGATCATGACCTGAGCCGAAGGCAGACACTTAACCATCTGAGCCACCCAGGCGCCCACAGCTGTGGTACATTTACATAGTACGTGTAATATTTAAATACTGAAACAGCACTAAGCTAAGGAAAGACAGGGATTAATGTAGAAATGTTTTATCAAAAAAAACCCCAAAGACATTTAAAAAAGTTTTTTTAGAGGGGGAGGGGCAGAAGTTAAGAGGGAGAATTTTAAGCAGGTTCCATGCCCAGTGCAGAGCCCTATGTGGGGCTCGGTCTCATGACCCTGAGATCATCAACTGAAGTCAAGAGTCTGATGCTTAATCGACTGAGCCACCCAAGTTCCCCCATTGAAGTTTTTTATTCAGGGATTTTCCTCTGAAAATAGCACAAGCAACACTTTTTTAGCAAAGAAAGTAGTTAAATTTTTTTTTTTTTTTAAGATTTTATTTATTTGAGAGAGAGACAGAGAGCATGAGAGGGAGGAGGGTCAGAGGGAGAAGCAGACTCCCTGCCGAGCAGGGAGCCCAATGCGGGACTCGATCCCGGGACTCCAGGATCATGACCTGAGCCGAAGGCAGTCGCTTAACCAACTGAGCCACCCAGGCACCCTAAATTTTGTTTTAATGTACTTTCAGTTCCATTGTACCATTAAAATTTATATTGTATTTATTTTTTTGGTGGTATGTTAATATACATATTAGCTTTCTAGACCATTGCTGTCACTATTCTAATAGGTATTATTGCCTCTGATTGTGACATAAGAGGCCTGAAGTCTGTAAACTCTAGACATGTCAAGTAGGAAGTCACAGTAGTTTCAGCCTTCAAGGAACTGAAACTGCAATGCTGCTGGGTGTATTGACTGAAAGTTGAGTAAAAGATGTTTTTATCATATATATACTTTTATTTTTATCTTTTTTCTTAGCAGAAAAATGTATACAGTTTGTTACACAGTTATATCACGTAATATTTATTTTAGATAAAGATAATTTTACATGTTGATAGTTAGAATTTAACATGTCATGGGTTAAAATGCCTGAACTATTCTTTTTTTTGGATGACATACTTCAACAGCTATGGTAAATTTGACATAAAATTCTGGTTTGGTGTTTTATGTTTAAAGATTGATTTATTTTTTAAAATTCAGATCTGCTTGCTTTGGAGAGGAAGAAGCAGGCTCCCTGCTGAGCAGGGAACCCGACATGGGGCTTGATCCCAGGACCCTGGGATCATGACCTGAGCTCAAGGCAGACACTTAACAGACTGAGCCACCCAGGTGCCCCAGATTTATTTATTTTAGAGTGAGTAGGGGGTGCAGAGGAGAAGGAGAGAGAATCTCCAGCAGAATCCCCACTGAGCGAAGCACCTGACACGGCTGGATCTCACGACCTTGAGATCATGACCTAAGCTGAAATCAAGTCGGATGCTTAACCAACTGAGCCCCCCAGGCACCTCTCAATATTGTGGGCGCCTGGGTGGCTCAGTCGATTAAGTGTCTGCCTTCAGCTCAGGTCATGATCCCTGGGTCCTGGGATCAAGTCCCACTTTGGGCTCCCTGCTCAGTGGGGAGTCTGCTCCTCCCTCTACCCCTTCTCCCTGCTCGTTATCTCTCTCTCTGTCTCAAATAAATATTTTAAAAACCCCAATATTTTGTGCTGTCTTGGAATTAGAGTGATGTTTTTATTGCTGACTTAGAAGTTTGACCTGAAGCTATTTTCTCTCAGATAAGCCGAGCAGAGCTAGTTGCATTAATCACATTGTTCTTTAGCCAAAAAAGTGGATAGATGGGGGACTTCTGGCTTACACTTAAAGTGGAGAAAGCTGATCAGAGTACTGTTGCACTCATACAGCAATAATAAACCCTGAACAGCTGCAAATTTATAGTTTTCTTGAGTCCATCAGAGAGCTGAGGTTGCAGGACAACCACCTAACCTGAAATCTAAGGAAAGACAGGCACCTCCAAGAAAAGATGGGATGTAAGTACTTGTTTACGTGGGACAGACAAAATGAACACCACTCAGAAGAATTCAGTTAAAAAAATTTTTTTTTTCCCTGAAGATTTTATCCATTCATTTGAGAGAGAGAGAGAGCGCGAGCGAGCATGAGGGGGGAAGGGGCAGAGGCAGAGGGAGAAGCAGGCTCCCCGCTGAGCAGGGAGCCCCACGTGGTGCTTGATCCCAGAACTCTGGGATCATGACCTGAGCCGAAGGCAGACACGTAACTGACTGAGCCACCCAAGCGCCCCTAAAATTTTTAATGAACTGCTAAAGGCTTAAATTGGACTAGCAAGAAGATACAGAATCCTTGGGAGCTGAGAACACATGGGAGGGAATTCATACCTACTTGCAGGCTTTCTTCCACAGACTTCACTGGTTGCTTATAAAAAAGAGAGGATAGGACTGGGTACTGTCCTCATTGGGCAGGCCTGCAGGAGGACAGTGGTAGATGCTTCAGGAAAGACATGAAGCCCTGTCTGAGGCTTCTTCCTGCCTCTCTGCTGTGAGACAGAAGCCCTAACCTGCAGGGGGAATGGAACAGAAAGAAAACCTTCCACCCCTGGGGAAGGGGCAGGAACATGTGCTGGGCCCAGGACCTCAGCACAGGGGGATGGGCAGGAACATTGAGAAGGCCATATGCCAAGATACCAAGAACATAGTACTTGACTGTCACCACGGCTTAGTCAGAATTTCAGAGAACTCCCACTCCATACCAGGCTAACAGATGTAGAGTAATGGGTAACAATGGAATTCTGTGAGAGTTGCAGGAGCTTGGAGGCAGAGAGACTGTATGAGATGCATGCTAAATGGAAGACCTAAAACTGTAGGTTGAGTAGACAATGAGAAAAACTCTCTGGCAAACAAGCCTCTACCCTAAACACAAGGTGTGGCTAGAGCAGTTTGAAGCCTGTGGTGCATTATAGGTATCCATAGCAGCAACAGATTGCAAACCAAGCTCATGTTCTGACAATAGAATGACTACATCCACACCCTAAAGGCCTAGCATAAGGAAAGATAGGGTCATATCCAGACACAAAGACTGTTTATCTCAGTCTCAGTTGTCCTACAGAGGATATCCTGCTTTTAGTATATATTTGTGTGTGTGTGTGTATCAGGCATAAAAACAAGGAGAAAAGCGATAGAGTATTGAGACAAGGGAATTAACAAAATTCGTGGGACACAGGTACTGGAAATTGTTAGACATGGAATTTAAGATAATTATGATTTATATGTTAAGGCCTCTGGTAGAAAAGGCAGGCAACATGCACGATTGTGTAGGATATTTCAGAGGTAGACATTATAAGAAAATCAAATGAAAATTATTTTTAAGATTTTTTTTTTATTTGAGAGAGAGAGAGGAGAGCACAGAGGGAGAGGGAGAAGCAGACTCCCCGCTGAGCAGGGAGCCCAATGTGGGGCTTGATCCCAGAACCCCAAGGCTATGACCTGAACTGAAGGCAGCCGCTTAACTGACTGAGCCACCCAGGTGCCCCCAAATGAAAATTTTAGTAGTGAAAAACACAGTAATAGACAAAGAATGCCTTCAGTAAGCTCATCAGTATATTTGGCATAACCAAAGGAAGAACCAGTAAACTTGAACATAGGCCTGTGCAAATTATCTAAACTAAAATGCAGAGAGAAAGCTGCGAGATAATATCACATGGTCAGAATGTATAATTTAAATCCCAGAAGGAGAGGAGAAAGAGAATAGGGCAGAAGAAATAATGGCCAAGGATTTTGAAAAACTAATGGTAGACACTGCACCAAAGATCCTAGAAGCTCAGAGAATGAGGCAAGATAATCCTCCAAAACAAATGACAAGAAAAGCACCCAGGCATTTATATTCAAACTGCTGAAAGTTGATGATGATGAGAAAATACTGAAGGTAGGAGCACCTGGGTAGCTCAGTCGGTTGGGCATCTGCCTTTGGCTCGGGTCATATCCGATGCTTAACCATCTTAGACACCCAGGCACCCCAAAAGGGAAGAACTTTCAACCTAGAATTCTGTACCCAGCAAAACCAATTTTTTTTTTTAAGGATTTTATTTATTTTAGAGAATGAGAGGGTGGGGGGAGGGGCAGAGGGAGAGGGACAAGCGACTCCCCACTGAGCAGGGAGTGTGACGTGGGGTTCTATCCCAGGACCCCAAGATTATGACCTGAGCCAAAGGCAGAGGCTTAACCGACTGAGCCACCCAGGCACCCTAAAACCAGTCTTTTAAAAATGAAGGAGAATTTCAGAGTAATATTCTCATGGTACCAGAGAAACTGAGATAAGTCATTATCGTAAGACCTGCATTACCAGATTCAATAAGGAAATTCTTTCAGGCAAAAGGGATGTGATACTAGATAGTAACTTGGATCTGTACAGATAAGTAGGTGTGTTGTAGCAGGTGAATATAAAATTCATGTTTTTCTAATTAAAACGTTTAAAAGTATACTAAAAATTTTTTCTTATTAATTGCTTTGAGCTCAAGGGGCACCTGGGTGGTTCAGTTGGTTAAGTCTCCGACTCTTGATTTCAGCTCAGACCTTGATCTCAGGGTCATGAGCTCAAGCCTCACATTGGGCTCCATGTATAGAGCCTACTTAAGAAAAAAGAAAAGGGGCACCTGGGTGGCTCAGTTGGTTAAGCATCTGCCTTCGGCTCAGGTCATGATCCCAGGGTCCTGGGATTGAGCCCCACATGGGGCTCCTTGCTCAGCGGGGAGTCTGCTTCTCCCTCTGCGCCTCCCCTCCCGCTTGTGCTCTCTCTCTGAAATAAATAAAATCTTAAAAAAGAAAAAAGAAGGATAACTGATTATAAAGGAAAAGTATTAAAATATATTTTATGTTTACAGCAAATATAAAAGTAAAATTTCTGACAGCTCAAAAGTCAGAGAAGGATACTATTATAACATCTTTTTAAAAATTTTTATTTTTATTTTTTTTAAAGATTTTATTTATTTATTTGACAGACAGTGAGAGAGGGAACACAAGAAGGGGGAGTGGGAGAGGGAGAAGCAGGCTTCCAGCTCAGCAGGGAGCCTGATGTGGGGCTCGATCCCAGGACCCTGGGATCAGGACCTGAGCCAAAGGCAGACAACAAACTGAGCCACCCAGGTGCCCCTAAAAATTTTTATTTTTAAAGGTTTATTTATTTTAGAGAGTGTGTGGGAGTGGGGCGGGGGGCAAAGAGAATCTCATGCAGACTCCCCACCCACCGAACATGGAACCCAACATGGGGCTCAGTCTCATGACCCTGAGATCTTGACCTGAGCCACAATCAAGAGTCAGATGCTTAACCGAGTCACCGAGGTGCCCCACAACTATAGCATTTTTACACTATATGTGAACTGGTATAATTTACTTGCCAGCTAGGCTCTGATTAATTAAACGTGTATTATAAACCCTAGGGCAACCACTAAAACCATTGTTTTCGAAAAACAAGTAACTATAGTTAAAAATACTGTATTATACATTTGAAAGAGAGTGGATCTTAAAAGTTCTCATCACAGGGAAAAAATTGTAACTATAGGGGCACCTGGGTGGCTCAGTCGGCTAAGCGTCTTAGCCCACATCATGATCTTGGGGTCCTGGGATCGAGCCCCGCATCAGGCTCTCTGCTCAGTGGGGAGTCTGCTTCTCCCTTTGTGTGCATACGCGAACGCTCTCTCTCAAATAAGTAAAATCTTAAAAAAAAATTGTAATTGTGTGGTGATGAGTGTTAAATTACTTTGGTAATTGTTTTGTTATATATGCATATATCAAATCATTGTGTTCTGTACCTAAACCTAATACAGTGTTGTGTCAGTCATATCTCAGTAAAAAAGTATAATGTGCCAATAACAGATAGAAAATGTAATCAGAAAAAATACACTCACTTAATTCAAATGAACACCGAAACAGAAGGAAAAAAAACAAGGAGTACATGGAATAGAAATGGTAAGGTGATAGATTTTATTCCAGTCGTTCTTAATAATTGTGTTAAATGTAGATCATTTAAACATACTAATTAAGACTTTCATCTGTTTAAACATCCAAAATCATCTAACATACTTTTCACTGTTAAATTGTTCAAACATAATAATTGAGACAGATGTAAATTGTCTAAACATAATAATTAAGACACAGATTTTCAGATTAGATACAAAAGCAAGACCCTGGTATATACTTTCTATAAGAAACTCACTTTAAATATGAAGACATGGGTTAAAAGTAATGTATAGCCACTGTGGAAGGCAGTATGGATGTTCAACAGAAAGTTAAAAATAGAACTATGCTCGCATCCAGCAGTCGAACTACTGGGTATTTACCCAGAGGATACAAAAACACGAACTCAGAGGGATACATGCACCCCTCTGTTTATAGCAGCATTATTTACTTCCAAGATACGGAAGCAGCCCAAGTGTCCATTGATTGATGAATGGATAACGAGGATGTGGTATGGCCTGGGGAGCTCTAGCCCAGGGTGGCCCTTGCAGGGCTGGCCTGACCCCAGCTCTGGTTTCTGGGCCAGTGGGTGGCTGCTCACTATGCTGGGCTAGCACCTGCACTTCCAGGAACCTGAGGTCGGCTGCTGTGGGAAATACTGCCTTTTTGGCTTCAACATTGTCTTCTGGGTGCTGGGAGCCCTGTTCCTGGCCATTGGCCTCTGGGCCTGGGCTGAGAAGGGCATTCTCTGCAACATCTCAGCACTGACAGATCTGGGAGGCCTTGAGCCCGTGTGGCTGTTGGAAGCGGTTGGAGGTGTTGTGTCAGTGCTGGGCTTTGACAGCGGCATTGGGGCTCTGTGGGAGAACACCTTCCTGCGCAAGCTTTTCTCCGTGTTTCTCAGCCTCATTTTCTTCCTGGAGCTGGCAACAGGGATCCTGGCCTTCATATGCAAGGACTGGATTCAAGACCAGCTCAGTTTCTTCCATCAATAACAATGTCAGGAATCTCTTTGCTCAGGAATAGTGGTTTTGTTGTGGAGCCCGAGGGCCTAATGGTTGACCCCTCAATCTGTATTTCAACTGCACTGACTTGAACCTGAGCCAGGAGCGCTGCGGGGTCCCCTTCTCCTGCTGCGCCAGGGACCCAGCAGAAGATGTCCTCAATACCCAGTTGTGGCCACGATAGCCAGCTCCCACTGGGGCTGGAGCAGCAGGGCTCCATCCGCACTAAAGGCTGCATGGGGTCTTTGTGGGCATCGCCCTTCTCCAGATCTTTGGTATTTACCTGGCCCAGAACCTTGTGAGTGCCATCAAAGCAGTGAAGGCCAGTTGGTGAGGCTGCCACCCTGGTGCACAGGGAGCTACCATCTCCACTCCTGTTGGGTGGTGGGCTCCCAAGGGGACCGGGAATGGTACAGCTAAGAGGGCGCAGGCCAGGTGGGGTGGGAGGGGTCTGCCATATCCCCACCCAGGCTGGGACACACTTCTCTGTGCATGACTGTGTGAGGCAGGCCTGGGGCCCGCTGTTGCCTGGGACACAGCTTCATGAAGCGGCTTCAGAGCTGTCTTCTCTACTAGCTGTGACCTTGACCCTGCCTGGAGCCCACTTGAGCCTCACCGGTGGCCCAAGAATTTTCTCTCCCTTGCTTGCCTCTCCGGATCAAACATGGTGATGGCTAGAAACTACTCAAACAAAACCTTAACCCTGTTCCTCCCCACCCCCCAAAACATATTATTTATGTATGTGTGTTTGTATCGGGCTCCTTGCTCAGCAGGGACTCTGCTTCTCTCCCTCTTCCTTTCCCTCTCTACCACCCCCCTGCTCATGCTCTTGCATGCGTGCTCTCTAAAATAAATCTTAAAAAATTTGTAGAATTTTTGATGTAGTGAAAAGAAGGGCCATATGCACCCCAATGTTCATAGCAGCAATGTCCGCAATAGCCAAACTGTGGAAAGAGCCGAGATGCCCTTCAACAGATGAATGGATAAAGAAGATGTGGTGATATATACAATGGAATATTACTCAGCCATCAGAAAGGATGAATACTCAACTTTTACATCAACATGGATGGGACTGGAGGAGATTATGCTAAGTGAGATAAGCCAAGCAGAGAAAGTCAATTATCATATGGTTTCACTTATTTGTGGAACATAAGGAATAACATGGAGGACATTAGGAAAAGGGAAAAATGGGGAGGGGGAATTGGAGGGAGAGATGAACCATGAGAGACTATGGACTCTGAGAAACAAACAGGGTTTTAGAGGGGAGGGGGGAGGAGGGATTGGTTAGCCCGGTGATGGGTATTAAGGAGGGCACATACTGCATGGAGCACTAGGTGTTAATACAAAAACAATGGATCGTGGATCACCACATAAAACCAATGATGTATGGTGACTAACAACATCATAAAATTAAAAAAGTAAATTAAAAAAATAAAGGACACCACAGGGATGGAAGAAGCAAAAAAAAAAAATCTGTAGAATTTTAGTTTTTTCTAATTTACATAAATGAGATCACCCCATATCTGTTAGCCAATCCTTAGGTGTTTTATATTGCTTTCGTTAGAGGTCTTAGCACCCAAAAGAGATGATAGAGGTCAGATGATGATGATAACTATAACAGGTATAGTTTTTTTCTTTGTGGGAGATACATACATTAACTCTAATGTCTACAGCTCTATGAGACCGGTGGTATTATCCCTGTTTTGCAGATCAGGAAATTGAGGCAGAGGGGTTAAGTGACTTGCCCCGTGTTATGTAGTAAATGGAGTGCCTGGATTCACACCCAGGCCATCTGGTTCCCAGGCTGTACTGTACGAGTCTGCTAATTTTGCGTTTCACAGGAAAGATCTGGGCATAGCCAAAACGTGAATGAGTTATTTAGGAATTTACATAAAACCTCTTTAATGAGTTTGCTTATTTTCTTTCCTTTGCTGGCATACTTTGTTACACAGTTTTCATTGTTAGCATAAGTGGGACAGGGATCTCTTCAATTCAGAGGATCCAATCTGAATTTGTAAATTTTAGCTTGTTTTTCTTTTCTGTTAGGAGATTTCTAAATCTGTTCTTACTTTATTTACTATAGTTTAGAGCATGCCTGACTTTCATGATACTTGGAGATCTTCTGCCAAAATAAATCCATCTGCTTTTAAATTTGATATCCCCTAATCATTTGCTGTTTTCAGAAAACAGAAAAGCCAAAAACCAAACTGACAGAGAAAGAAAATAGAGTGTTCAGATCTTGGTTTCTAGATAACATTCTCCAATAAATGCAGTCCGGACTCCTTGATGAAATGGTTGATTCCAAGTTTGGGGAAATATAAGATGAGCTTGGAACATCTTTTGGTACTAGAAAGTAAGTGCTCAACAAAACAAAAAGAAAAAGGAAAGCAAGTAAAAAAGATACAGGGACAGTCTGAAGGGGCTCTGAATAACCAGAGCCAGCAAGTTTGAATAACAATGATAGTAATTGATTCGAATCCGTAAAATAAGTATCCATGAGTCCATACTACATCAAATAACAACTGAATAAATGGAGAAAGAATAGTCCTTCCTTACAGTAGAATTCTAATTTACACATCTGGAAGGAATGATGGAAATAATTTGCCAATAGACCCACAAGTAATAATTATAGGCAGGAGCTATCAGTGGATGCTAAAGTTAGCAAAAAGTGTGATGAGAAGTGGAGTATTTGCTTAGTCTCAGTAGATTTCCCCATAAGGTCCTCATTAATTACAAAGGGAAAAATAATAGCTTCATGGTGGAGAAATCTGACAGATAGCAGCTTCACCAGCGATCAGTTTATCAGCCTCAGTAATAAGACATTGACATCATGTACCCTTTGCACTGAGAAGGGCACGTCATTTCTGTGATATTCTTGCCAAAAATGTATAACTTCAATATAATCATGAGGAAATACTAGACAACCCCAAAGTGAAGGCCATTCTGTAAAATAACTGAGCCAAACTCTTCAAGAGTCTTTATGACCTCTTGGTCCCCCATCTCCAGGTTTTTTGGTTTCAAAAGTCTCTCTTGTTAATGAACTGTTATAGCTTCTTACCCCATATAAAACTTTGATTCCCTATCTCCTTTCATGTTTCTTTTTACTGATAGGGAGAGGAAATGGAGTATCCTGAGCTCAGGGGTTGAACAGGAATTTTTAACTGTTTCATTGGAGAGAACTGCTTTTTGGACTAAAAGGAGAATGTCAGCTTCAGGGAGTTTTCAGGGACACAGCCCTTCATTACCAGACTCAGAATAGAACACTACTGTTCCCAGCCCCTTCTGCTACTCACGGTCCAGCATTTGAGTGTTCTTGTCTTACTTCCTTTGATTTTATAATGAAATCTTAGGTGTGCAATTTTAGACCAGAGGAGATAATAGCGAGGCCTGGATTTTTATCACAAATGCTATAGCTTGTAAACATCTGTTGTAAAATCACTACTATCTTGTTGGCAGAGTTTCAGAAACTCTGGAGGAGCGTCACTGTGGATTCAATGGATGAGGAGAAAATTGAAGAATATCTGAAGCGACAGGGTATTTCTTCCATGCAGGAATCTGGACCAAAGAAAGTGGTATGTAGTCTCTTGAGGGGAAAAAAAAAAAAAAATCCTCTGTTCTTTGAACTGTGAGCCTGCTTCCTGTTCTCTCTGAAGAGCGGTAGTTGGTTCTCTCTTCCAGTTTTTTCTCAGTGTCCTAATCAGTGATCTTGGTCAGATGCAAACCAGATCATGTCTGATTTATTGGGGGCCAGTGGATCTCTGTCCCCGGCTGCTGCGGCCCAGGCATGTGAGAGCTTTCCTCATTACCCCTCCAGCCCCTGTCTTAGCAGGGACTACTCTTAAGGTCGAGTCATACCCAATATTTTCTAGTGCCCACATGTTGCCCTCCCAGTTTCTAAAAGGAGCTTGCTTCGTCATCTTGGCCTTCAAGACCTTAATTGTGCTCCCCTCCCCCTTGCTCCCTGTGGTCTTGGTCCCTGGCTCCGCCTCAGCCCTGATCACATTGTTGTCCTTGTTGACTTTCAGATTCCTTAGGAACCAGATACTGTATAGTCTCAAAGCCCGATCAAAGGAGGGGTTTGTAATGGAAAGATGACTTGTGAATTGCCTTCTGCCAGCTAATCAGTTGTCTGTAGTCCAAGGACAAACCCAGTTTGGGGAATAATTCACCAACACCCTAACTGTAGGTGCTCTGCTCCTCCCCCTTTCCCATGTCTACCGTCAGTCTTTGTAGCTTGCCTTCTTTGGGATTTTGTGTGTGTGTGTTTTATTCAGTGAATTTGTAGGACTCCCTAAAAGGTTGGATTTATTGCCCAGTGATCTCCATGAATTAGTGTAATGGCAGCACTTTTTTATGAGTTATTTTCTCCTATCGTTGCTTAGTTTGTTGACTTTCTTTTAAAAATGTGATTTTAAATTTCAAGGACACAGAAAAGAATGGAGAATAATATTTAACAAATCTTTGTGTGCGTAGCCACTTCCCAGTTTTGCTGTATTTCGGTATTTTGCCTTATTTACTTCAGATCTTTTTTTATTGGTAATGGTGGATGTATTTTTAAACCTAAGTATCGAGAATCGTTCTGGGGAGTTTCTTGTGCCAGCCCCGTTATTCCCAGTGGCGGTGTGCACGTCTGTGGTTGGGGGTTGGCGTGGGCAGCTGGGCCACCTAGCAGGAAGAACGGTTTCTGCACATCGTTAGTAAATCCTTGCTGTTCAGCCCTTCTGAGTAGCTGTTTCTGTTTTTACCTTTTCTCGTAGGCCCCCATTCAGAGGAGGAAAAAGCCAGCTTCACAGAAAAAGCGACGGTTTAAGACCCACAACGAACATCTGGCTGGAGTGCTGAAGGACTACTCTGACATTGCTGCTGGCAAATAGCAAACAGTTTCGTTCATGAGCAGAGTTAACAAAGTCAAGATCTTTCTTGTTGATGCTGGGCTCTGAAGACCGTCTTCCCATTCTACGTCTTGGACTGAGGAGAGGAGCAGTTCAGTTTACAGAACAAGAGCAAATTACCAAACGCAAAGCTTACTTTAATTGAATGGGCTAATGAGCTATGTGATATTCCCTGTTAGCCTTCTGTTACTTCTGGGGGAAAGGCGCTTAGCATGGCATGCAAGTGTCTTTGCTACTTATCTCTATTTCTAAGTGGTTCCTGGTTCCATTCTCTTCCTTTATTACTTTAGAACAAGTTTGCAGATAAATAGTCTTGAATGCAATATTTGTTTATTCCAGAGAACATATTTATAATAAAATCATTGTAGAAGGAACTCTAAGATGTTAGTGAATTCAGTTTGTTTCTTTCTGTCCTTGGCAATGGCAGAAGGCAGCTCCGGTCTTTAACTCCCACAGGATGCATGTTTGGGATGTTGTTGAAGACTGTGATTTGTGCTGTGGTGCTGAGCATATGGATCTCACAATTGGAACACAAGATGTGCCTCTTGTTAGCAAATGTGACAATAAAGATACACTACATGTGATTTTTAATGTTTTTTTTTTTTTTTTTAAAGCCTAAATCAGTACTGAGCTTCTTGGATTTTGCAAGTCCTTTTGGCTTATGCCATCTCCAACAAAGATAAGTAGAGTCTTCTTGCCAACCTGAACGTCATCTTTACCCTGTTCCAACCCTCATGGGATTTGACCCTGATTTTTTTCTTGGGGAGACTCCCTCGGTCTTCCCACTGGCTGAGCTCAGAGCCATTATCAAAGATGTGGGTTCTTAGCAGTCATGGTGATATATAGGAAGGAAGTCTGTGTGGTTATTGCAGCCTTCTGTGGTAAACTACCTGTTTTCCTTACCTCTGCTTGTTACTTGGTATGGTGGTCCTTTGGGTTGGTTCTTAGAGTCCTCATATCGTAAATTGAAATTGCAGTGGATTATAAAAATAAGGTTCAGTGTTCTCAAGAAAGGTGTGATGGTAACCCAGAGCAGTAAGTACTTTGTGCAGATCATGAGCTTTTTTGCTGTTTTAGTTCTCTTTATCCTTCTGATTTGTGTCTCATCCATTTACATAGTCCTGTTTTTGTTTCCTCTTTCTTACATCCCAGCCCCAGAACATGGCCCCAGAAGATGTAAAGCTGAGGGTCCCCACGGTAATTTAGAACACGGGAAACTCAATGTGTCTTTGTTACCAGGTTTTTTTGTTTTTGTTTCTGTTTTTTTGCCAGTAAGGAGGAACTTCTAATGTCTTATGACATAAAACTAGTTTTCTTGTAGAAATTCTGAAGCTAGCTTATCTCTAAGTATGCCTACTTTTGGTGGTCTGTATACATCATTCTGTTTTATTTTCCAGTAATATTGAGGTATAGTTGACATACAGCATGACTTTAAGGTGTACAGCATAATGATTTGACTTATATATATTAGGAAATGATAACTACAGTAAGTTTAGTTAACATCCATCATCTCCTATAGGTACAAAAAATAGAAAAAAATTTTTTCCATGTGGTGAGAACTCATAGAATTTACTCTTAATATATGCTACATACACCTTCCATATATGCCACAGAGCAGGGTTAGGGTCATCATCCCGCTGTACATTACATCCCAGTCCTGACTTATCTTGGAACTGAAATTTGTACCATTTGACCACCTCCACCCAATTTCCCCTGCCCCGCCCCTGCTTCTGGTAACCACAAATATTATTTCTTCTATGAGTTTTTATTTTTTTGGTTTCACATATAAGATCATATAGTATTTTCCTTTGTCATATTTCACTTAGTGTAATGCCCTCAAGGTCCATCCATGTTGTTTCAAATGGCAGATTTCATCCTTATTACAGCTGAAGTATTCCATTATAGAATAATATTCTATTCCACCACATCTTTATTCACTCATCTGTCGATAGACGCTTAGGTTGTTTCCATGGGGTGCAGACAGCTCTTACACATACTGTTTTCATTTACTTCGGGTATATTCCCAGAAGTGGGATTGCTAGATGACTTGGTAATTCTGTTTTTAATTTTTTTGAGAAAACTCCACATTTTCTGTAGTGGCAGTACCAGTTTACAAACCCACCATCAGTGCACAAGGGTTCCCTTTTTTCCACATCCTTGCCAGCATTTGTTACTTCTTTTTGATGCCAGCCATTCTAATAGCATCAGAATACTTCATTGTGATTTTAATTTGCATTCCTCTAATGATTAGTGATGTTCAGCATCTTTTCATGTGCCTGTTGGCCATTTGTATATTTTCTTTAGAAAAACGTCTATTTCAGGTCTTTTGCCCAGTTTTTAGTTGGATTTCTTTTCTTTCTTTTTTTTTTTTTGCTATTGTAGGAGTTTTATATTTTTGAATGTTAACCTCTTATTAGATACATGGTTTGCAGATATTTTTTTCCCAATTTATACGTTGCTTTTTCATTTTGTTGATGATTTCTTTGCTGTGCAGAAGCTTTTTAGTTTTATATAGTCCCATTTGTTTTTTTTTTATTTGTTGCTTGTGCTTTAGGTGTGATTATCTGAAAAATCATTGCTAAGATCCATGTCAAAGAGCTTTTCTCCTGTGTTTTTTTCTCGGAGTTTAATGGTTTCTACTCTTACATTTAAGTCTTTAATCCATTTTGAATTAAGTTCTGGGAGTGGCGTAAGGTAGAGGTCTAGTTTCATTCTTTTATGTATGAGTACCCAATTTTCCCAGCACCATTTATTGAAGCAACTCTTTATTGAGAGTTCTTGGCTCCCTTATCAGATATTAGTTGACACTATTTGTTAATATTTCATACTGTTTCAGTTACTATAGCATTAATACAGCTTGAAGTCAGGAAGTGTGATGCCTCCCACTTTGTTCTTTCTCAAGGTTGCTCTGGCTATTTGGGGTCTTTTGTGGTTCCTTATAAATTTTAAGAGTGTTTTTCCTACTTCAGTAGAAAATGCCATTGGAATCTTGATAAGGATTTCATCAAATCTGTACATTTTTTTGGGTAGTATGGACATTTTAACAATATTTATTTGTCCAATTAATTTAGTCTATGAACACAGGATACCTTTACATTTGTCTTGATTTCTTTCATCTGTGTCTTGTAGTTTTCAGTCTAGAGCTCTTTCACCCCCGTGGTTAACTTTATTCCTAAGTACTTTATGTTGTTTTTGATGCTTTTGAAAATGGGATTTTCTTTTTTCTTTTTCAGATAATTTGTTGTTAGTTTATAGGAAAGTTGCTGATTTTTACATGTTAATTTTGTTTCCTGCAACTTCACTGAATTTGTTGATTAGATCCAGCAGTTTTTTTGGTGGAGTCTTTAGGATTTTCTTTCTATAAAATCATGTCATTTGCAAATAGCTATAGCAGTTCTGATGCTTATTTTTCTTGCTTGATTGTTCTGGTTAGCACTTCCAGTACTGTGTTGAATAGGCTTGGTGAGATTGGGCACCCTTGTCTTGTTCCTGATCTTCAAGGAAAAGCTTTTAACCTTTCACCATTAAATATGATGTTAGCTGAGGGCTTGTCATTATATATGGCCTTAACTCTGTTGCGGTATGTTCCTTCTGTATCTGATTTGTTGAGTTTTTATCATTAAGTGGATGTTGAATTTTGATAAATGCATTTTCTGTATCTATAGATATAATGATTTTTTTCTTTCATTTTATTAATGTGATGTATCACACTGATTGATTTGCATATATTAAACCATCCTTGCATCTTAAGGATAAATCTCTCTCTGTCTTTCTCAAATAAATAAATTTGATCATTATGAAAGAGCTTAATGTGTTGCCAAATTTGGTTTGCCAGTATTTTACTGAGAATTTTTGCATCTGTGTTCATCACGGATATTGGCCTATACTTTTTTCTGGTAATGTCCTGTTTTGGCTTTGGTACCATTGTAATGCTTGCCTTGTAAGATGAGTTTGGGAGTGTTCACTCGGAGTTTTTGGGAAGGTTTGAGAAGGATTGGCATTAATTCTTCAAATGTTTGGTAAAATTCATTCTTTGAAGCCAGATATCTCTGGTCTTGGGCTTTTCTTTGTTGGGGGATTTTTGATTGCTGATTCAGTTTCCTACTAGTAATTGGTCTATTTAGATTTTCCATTTATTCTCGATTCAGACATGGTAGGTTGTATTTTCTAATAAAATTTTCCATTTTGGAGAGCCTGGCTGCCTCAGTCAGTAGAGCACAAAACTCTTGATATTGGGGTCCTGACTTAAGCCCCATGTTGAGCATAGAGCTTACTTAGAAAAACAAAAACAAAATTTTTTTTCCATTTCTTCTAGGTTGTCCAGTTTGGTGTACAGTTGTTCATAGTAGCCTCTTAGGATCCTTTGTTCTTCTGTGATATCAGTTGTAATGTTTCCTTTTTCGTTTATAATTTTGTTGATTTGGAATCTTTTTCTTGGTTAGTCTAGCTAAATGTCAATTTTATCTTTTCAAAGAACCATCTCTTTGGTTAATCTTTTCTGTAGTTTTTCTGTTCTCTATCATTTTTTTTTTAATTTTCACATCTAGCTTTTTAATTTTTTTAAAGATTTTATTTATTTATTTGAGAGAGACAGAGTGAGCATGAGCAGGGGGAGGGGCAGAAGGAGAAGCAGACTCCCCATTGAGCAGGGAGCCCAACATGGGGCTCAATCCCAGGACCCTGAGATCATGGCCTGAGCCGAAGGCAGATGCTTAACCAACTGAGCCACCCAGGTGCCCCAAATAGAAATCATTAAAAAAAAATTTACCAAGACTTATTTTTTTAGCCTAGCATATGGTTTATCCTAGAAAATGTTCCCTATGTGCCTGAGAAGAATATGTAGCTTGCTCTTGTCAGATACAACGTTCTATATTTGGTTGTTAGGTCCATTTGGTCTGTAAGTATTGTTCAGATCTGTTTCCTACTGGTTCTCTGGATGATCCATCCATTGTGGAGAGAGGGGTATTAAAGCCCCCAACTATTAATATATTGCTGTTTATTTTTCCTTTTAGCTCTGTTTGTTTTTGCTTTATATATTTGGGTCCTCTGATATTGGTGCATAAATATTTACAATTGTTTTATCTTCTTGAAAGATTGACCCCTTTATCATTCTTTGATGACCTTTGTATCTTTTTACCATTTTTGAGTTTTATTTTGTCTGATACATATATATCTACTTTTTTTTTGTTTTTGGTATCATTTCGTTAAAGTATCTTTTACCATCCCTTCAATCTTAGTCTGTGTGTGTCTTTAAGGCTAAAGTGAGTGTCTTGTAGGCAGCATTTCATTAGATCTTGTTTTTTAATACAGTCAAGGTGTTCTGTGTATTTCAATTGCAGAATTTAATCCATTTATGCTTAAAGTAATTATTGACAGGTAG